TTCAACCCACTTTTTAAAGTAATCAATAGCTACCAGGATGAAGCGATGCCCGTTAGATGCCGTAGGTCTGATCTCGCCGATCATATCAATGCCCCACATTGAAAAAGGCCACAAAGCCGTCAAAACATTCAGAGGTACCGAAGGTATGTGCACCTTATCAGCATAGACTTGGCACTTGTGACAGGTATGAGAATCCTGATAACAGTCGGCTTCCATTGTGGACCAATAATATCCTGCCCGAAGGATTTTCTTTATCATGGTTTTTCCACTAGAATGGGTTCCGAAAGTACCTTCATGCAACTCTGTCATGATTCTTTCTGCTTTGTTCTTATCCACACAACGCAGTAAAGTTGAATCATGGTTGCGCTTGTAAAGGATACCATTGCTGATGAAGAACTTTGCCGCGAACCTCCTCATAAACTTCTTGTCATTAACAAATGCACCCTCGAGGTATTCCTGAGCCTCAAGGTATCTCTTCACCTCATGGAACCAGGGTTTATCTGTTACCTCTTCAGTCTCAATGTCACAATAATGTGCAGGTTCGTCCAACCTTTCAATGGTAATCCGAGGAGCTTCGTTTTCCCAATTAAATTTGAACATAGAAGACATCGTAGCCAGCGCGTCCGCTAACTGATTCTCCTCTCTAGGGAAGTGTTCAAAAGTTATATCCTCAAAATGCGGAAGCAACGTTAACACATACTCTTTGTAAGGAATAAGATTAGGATGTTTCGTATCCCACTCGCCTTTGATCTGACTGATCACGAGAGCGGAATCTCCGAAAACACTTAAGAACTTAATCCTTAGGTCAATAGCCGCTCGAAGACCCATGATGCATGCTTCATACTCCGCCATGTTGTTGGTGTAGTTGAAACGTAGTCGGGCGGTGAACGGAGTGTGAGAGCCTTTAGGAGATATGATCACGGCACCAATGCCATTACCCAAAGCGTTCGAAGCTCCATCAAAGTACATAGACCATCGAGATCCTTCCTCAGGTCCTTCATCCGGTCCAGGTGTCTCACAGTCAGTTACTATCATGATTCTCTCATCCGGAAATTCAAAGTTCATAGACTAGTAATCATCCACTGCCTGATGTGCCAGATGATTTGCCAACACACTTCCCTTAATTGCCTTTTGGGTCGTATACTGGATGTTATACTCAGTCAAGATCATCTGCCATCTTGCTATTCGTCCGAACAAGGCAGGCTTCTCGAAGATATACTTGATTGGATCCATCTTTGATATCAACAAGGTGGTGTGAGTTAGCATATACTATCTCAGCTGGAGAGTAGCCCATGCCAAAGTGCAACAAGTTTTCTCGAGTAGCGAGTATCGGGTCTCGCAGTCGGTAAACTTTTTGCTAAGGTAATAAATAGCATGCTCTTTTCGGCCAGACTCGTCATGCTGACCCAACACACACCCCATTGAGTTGTCGAGTACTGTCAAGTATAAGATCAAAGGTCTCCCTTCAAGTGGAGGCATCAGAACAGGAGGCTCTTGGAGATACTCTTTGATTCTTTCGAAAGCGGTCTGACATTCATCGTTCCATCTTACCACTTAATCTTTCTTCAGTAACTTGAAGATTGGCTCACAAGTAGCAGTCAGGTGTGAGATGAATCAGGCGATGTAGTTTAGACGTCCCAGAAAGCCTCTGACTTCTTTCTCTGTTCGAGGAGCTGGCATTTCCTATATAGCCTTCACCTTTGCAGGATCCACTTGAATACCCTTATCACTTACAACGAAACCCAGCAGCTTACCAGATCTCACCCTAAAGGTGCACTTGTTCGGGTTTAACCTCAGCTTGTACAACTTCAACCTGTCAAATAACTTTTGAAGATGGTCAAGATGTTCTTCCTCAGTCTGGGATCTTGCAATCATGTCATCGACGTATACCTCAATCTCATGATGGATCATGTCGTGGAACAAAGCGACCATGGCGCGCTGATATGTTGCCCAGCATTCTTCAGTCCAAAAGGCATGACCTTGTAGCAAAAGGTACCCCATTGAGTGAAAAAGGTTGTCTTCTCCATATCTTCGGGAGCCATTTTAATCTGATTGTAACCGGAGAAACCATCCATAAAGGAAAAGACTTTATGCTGTGCGATGTTGTCAACCAGAACATCGATATGAGGCAGAGGGAAATCATCCTTGGGGCTTGCCCTATTCAGATCCCTATAGTCGACACACATTCGAACCTTACCATCCTTCTTCGGTACCGGAACCACGTTGGCCACCCACTGTGGGTAAGAAGCAACTGCTAGAAAACCGGCGTCAAACTGTTTCATAACTTCAGCCTTGATTTTCTCAGACATCTCTAGGCGCATTCGGCGGACCTTCTGTTTCACTGGAGGACAATCTTCCTTGGTAGGAAATCGGTGAACCACAATATCGGTATCCAACCCAGGCATATCTTCATAAGACCAGGAAAAGATCTCAACGTAGTCTCGCAGCATCTGAATCAGTCGTTGCTTAACACTAGATTCCATATTTGCACCGATCTTGACCTCTTTCTTGTCTTCCTCTGTACCCAGATTTACTGATTCCACTGGCTCTTCATGCGGCTGTATGGCCCTCTCTTCCTGAAGTAGCAGTCTAGCAAGTTCACCAGGCACTTCACAATCATCTTCACCTTCGTCTTCGGCTAAGTTGATCAGACTTTCGAAGTCATAACCGGCAGTATCAGAGTCGTTACCAGTAGGATCCAAAGTGGATGTAGACCTGTATATGTGAGTGTGTGTAAAATAGCTGTTTTGCAATATATAATAAAAGAGAAACAAGGAGCGCAAAATTTTTGAAATGCAAGAAACATCCAATGCTTTTATTAATGATATATGTAGATGACACACATAAAGCCCTCACAAACGAAACCACGGTGCCCCGGGTAAGACACCGCGTCGTAAAGTTTAAAACATTGTCTGTTACAAATTCAAAACAAAAGTCTCATTACTGGGTAATAACAGAAACTGGCATAGAATCCTTCACTGTCCAGTTGCTTAGTCCACCATCAGCAGTCGAGTATATCCAGCTGTCAATATCAAACTCTTCATCATCGTCTTCAATGACATTCACTCCTGCGTCATGTTTGGGCATAGGTGCCGTTATGACATTAGGCTTCCCTGGCGCTTCGAACTGAATTTCCTTAGCATCAATCAAGTCTTGTACTTTTTTCTTCAAGACCCAACAATTATCCGTATCATGCCCCGGGCTATCAGAGTGAAAAGCACAGCGGGCATTCGGATCGTACATCGGTTATGTTGTATTAGGGCTCTTCGGGGCCTCCTTCGGAATCACCAAGTTGGTTTTTAATAACTGCGGCAGAATTTGGGATAAAGTCATGTTGAGCTGAGTGAATTGTCTTCGCGGCCTCTCGGCCCTTGGCTTATTGTTGCGCTGAGGAGCAACAACATGTCTTAATATAACCACCGCATTAACAACTTGGCGGCGTTCAGGTCTATTATGGCTTTTTATGCTGTAAACAACACTCGACTTCTTCTTAAAGGGATTCTTCTCGGTGCTTGACAAAGCACTCTTCTGTATTTTACTAGATTTGATACCAGCCTCAATTCTTTCCCCGATCATGATTAGCTCTGTAAACCCGAACGATGAACTTCCAATCAGATGGTTGAAATACGGACCAGACAGGGTCCCTAGAAACATATCCACTAGCTCCCTGTCAGCCAAGGGAGGTTGAACTCTTCCAACAAGGTCCCTCCACTTCTGAGCATAATCTTTGAAACCTTCACCCGCACCCATAGACATACCCTGGAGTTGGGTACGTGTGGGAGCGAGGTTGGCATTGTATTGGTACTGCTTGTAGAAAGCAGCAGCCAAATCCTCCCAATTACGGATACTAGCTCCTTCTAGCTGGTAAAACCATTCAAGCTGAGTCCCTGAGAGACTGTCTTGAAAGAAGTGGATCCAGAGGTTCTTGTCAGCGGTGTATGGCTGAATTTTTCTAACATACAAACGGAGGTGCAGCTTTGGACAAGAAACTCCGTCGTATTTAGCAAAGGCTGGTGCTTTGAATTTGTGGGGAATCACCACCCCAGATGACAAACCTAGATCACCAAAGTCCAACCCCAGGACCTTCTGAATCTACGTGGCACTTAACCGGTCTTCAAGCTGTTTATACCTATCCTCAGCCGGAGGATACTGGTCTTCGTCAAAGTCAGTCTCATGGTCAGATACCACAGGGCTAGGAACCCTCCTTTCTTCCTGGTTTTCTCCCCCTCCAGATGAGTGGGATAGATTGACTTCATCTCGCAGCCTATTTCCAAACCCGTGCCCCATGTTCAAGAGGACCTTCTTCTTCTTCTTCTTCTTCTTCTTCTTCTTCTTCTTATCTTTCAAAATAAGGGTCTTCAGATCTTGCTGATCCTTGGCTAAACTCATGAACAATTCTTGGAACTGGGCGTTTTGAGCCTGTAGAGCTTTGATAACTTGATCAGTGGATGTTTCGGAAGACATGATGCTGAAATAAACAGCGAAGAAGATGAGAAAAACCTATAAGGGTACCTGTTATGAGGTGCATGGAATGGAATGCGTATGATATGATTTCAAAGACTTTAGAGATGCAAATTCGTAAACCAAAAAAGAAACACACTTTTATTAGATAAACTTTGAATTTAATTGTTCAACAAATTCCTTTAAGGCGTTACAAGAAAGAAAAACTGAAAAGTAAATCAAAACTGGAAATAATCAAAAGACAATCAGTGCTCCCATGGTAATTTTCCTTTGGTGCTGACATAGTCGTTGAGGATCTGCTCATTCTCCAACTGCCTTGTCAACTTCTGGATCTTCCGCTCTTGCTCGTGATACTTTTCTCTGTAAGTATCTCGCTCTTCCCTTAGCTGCATCCAGGACCTCTTTAATGCCCCAATGTCAGTAGGCATGTAAGGGTGTAGGATGGTAGGAGGAACCCCTTCTTCATCAGTAACCTCAACAATTATAGGCAAGACGGCTTCGTACGACATTCCCAGCTTTAGGGCACGTATGCGAACCCATCAGAGATATGGTTCCATTGGTAGAGAAGTCTTCGTACCCAGCTCGTGTGGATCAGACCTGTGTACTCTATCCCAAGCTCTTATGAATCTGCGGCGTTGCTCGTCACTATCCCCTTGGAAGTAAAAGACGATACTCGACATCAGCAACTCATGAGGTCCTTCCCTCCTAGCTCGCCCGAACTGACGTAAGGCCAAACATGGATTATAAGTGATTCCTCCATGGGTTCCTAGCAGTGGAACATTGGGGTACTCCCCACAGCGATCAATAATAGCCACATCTTCCATACCCTTGATAGTCCAAATGATATCATTATGAGAGAGGTACATAATCCTGTAGGCCCAACCCATGCCTTCCTTGTTCTTAAAAACTGATTTGGGGAGGTGAGAAATAAACCACCTCGCCAGCAATGGTGCACAACTCATAAGGGTTCCCCGTTTCCGAGCAGTACAGGCATAAAGAGAGTGTAAAATATCACCCAAGAGAGTGGGTACCAGATTACAGGAAATGAAGATCTTCACCGCATTCACGTCAACAAAAGCATCTGAGTTTGGAAACAGAACCAGACCATAAATAAGAAGAGCCAAGATGTCCTCAAACGCCTGAAAGTCTAAACTGTCCCAAAACTGATTAGCCTTACCAACCAAAAACTTAGTCAAGAAGCCTTTTATCCCACTTCTAGTCTCCCAGTTAGACATTACTTCAGCCTTTGTCATATGGAGGGCTGAAGCAATATCTTCCGGCCTAATGACTTTCTCCCAACCTATAAACGGGGTCTGCTCCAGAATAGAGATACCAAGTAGACCAGAGAACTCTTCCAAGGTAGGGACCAACTAGTAGTCCGGAAAAGTAAAGCAATGGTACAGTGGATCAAAGAACTGGACTAAGACACTCATCATCTGTTCATCCATCTTGGAGGTGACTAAACCAAGAAGGTGTCCATGTCTTCTGATAAAGGAGGTAGTATCTGAAACCTTTGCAACCAATTCCTTAAGCTGGGTGGGAACCTGGACAAAGTTGATCTGAATGGTGTTTCTACGCATGGGTGTCATGACCTACAAAACAAAACAAAAATGAATCCCTCCTGTCTTTGAAATAGGTTAGTCCAATGCAAGATGCATGCAATGTTATGATGTCATGATGTCATGATGTCATGATAGAAAACACACCACAAGTATCCACAAACAGCAAACATGGTAAGGGCAAGCAAGTCACACAGATAGCCCTTAGATTTCAGGCTGGCAAGGAGCTTATGTACTACCCTCTTTCAGTTCAGTTGGTTTAAACCTGTCCTAAAAATAGTAACCGGGTTCTAGAGGATCTCAATATCACTGACTACCCTTGATCGGTCATAATTCCAGTTTAGCAACCTTTTCTTGCGGCCAGAATCATCGCGAGAGTTTAGTCTCAATGAGTGTAGCATACTGCTACTGTTCTATGGCCAAGTTGGTCAATTTAAAGGTTCTAAGGTCAGTTGGTTCTTAAGGACCCCTTAGCAGACCCATATTCTCCTCGTTGCGCCACAAGGGATATCGGTACATACTAAAGTGCCACACCAACGTAGCTACTGCTTCAACCGTACCAGTCTACACCGTACAGTTCCCTCACAGTTTATTGCTACTTACCTAAAAGGTATTCCCAGATCCGGGTTAGGATCTATAGTAACTCCGATTCAAACCCACAAAGATAAAGCATACAAATCAAGCAATTGAAAACATTATGAACTATTCCTAAGGTACACCCCACTTATAAGATTTCCCCAGCAGAGTCGCTAGTTCTGTGATACGGTGGGAAGAACTGACTATTTTTTGGAATGCTGGTTTGCGTTTTGCGTTTGTGTTCGCGAAATGTCGCGGTAAGCAAGAGTCGCCACCAACTTTTATTTTATCCAACAAGGAAAGGAAAAAAGCACAGAAAAATTCCTTTTTCGAGATATTTCTGAGTACGGGGGGTAGATTATAGAAAGGGAAGGTATTAGCATCCTTTCTATCCGTAGTTATCCACAGACTCTTAGGTACTTGCTCATATTGTTTTCAAAATGGTTTTCTTTGTGTTTGTGGGTTTGAAAAAGTTTTTGTTTTGAAACTTCGATTTAACTCTTGCTTCTGTCCTCAAGAGCGTATGAAGTGTTTTTGAAAACTTTATTCGAAAATGAGTGTAAGTGTGAAAAAGGTTTTGTTTTTTGAAAGAGCAAGTATCTAAGAACCATCTACCTACTCGAAAAAGGAATCATTCTATGCTAATTTCCTTTCGACAATGCTATCCTACTATTGATGAGCAGGTAGCACCGTCGTTGGAGTTTAAGGGTCAATTCGAAATAGGGACTTACGGTCACCAAAGAAATGTTAGGACGCCTTAGCGGTAACCCTAATGTCTTAGATCATTTGTTTAAGGCAACAATATCCGAGAGCAAGCACATTATTGGATAAAAAATAAATAACGCGCGAGAAATTAGATCGAATGCAAATTTTAGGGTTTTGACCCTTTTGAAGAAAACATGTCTTTTTTGTTGTTTTTTTAAATGAAGAAACAAATTAATCCTAAATTAATTGCTAAATTAAATTAAATAAATTAATTAATAAAAATAAATTATTTTTGGGTTTTTGTTATTTTAAGAAAGAAATAAAATTAATTGAATTAATAATTAGAACCTAATTAAATCTAGTTAATTTTAATTATTTGCAAAATAGGTTAAAATTATTCTAGAATTAAAACCTAAATTAATTAATTAGTATTTATTAATAAAAAAATAAAATTAAAAATTTAATTGAATAAAAATATTTTTGGTGATTTTATTTTATAAGAGACTGAATTTTAATTGGTTAGTAAATCAAATGAAAATAATAAAACAATTAAATAAACAAATAAAATAAATGAGAATAGGGGAGTATGGGCCTGAATAGGTGGTGTGATTAGCAATCTGAAGCCCAATTGCAGCTGGCCTTTGTTGACTTTTTGGAATCCAATGTGCACGCTTGGACTTGGCCTTTGGTGGACCTTCAGCGTTGAACCCTCAGATTTGGCCTTTGGCCACTTGGCAACTGGATGAATGAGGATGCATGGTGTTCTGCAAGCTCATGCGTGCATGGGAGTACCTGAAGAGAAAAAACATTGAAGAAGTGGGGGACCTGGGATTCGAACCCAGGTCCTGAAGGATTATACGCGCTTGCCTTGCCACTACACCATATCGATCCATTTGTTATATGAATACAAAATAATAATAATAAAACAAAACAACAATTATTGGTCAAAAAAAATAAAATGCCCGAAAAATATTTGAATGGGCAAACCGGAGAATGACACGCACTCATCCCTGTCCTCAGACCTGTAACAACATTACCTGCGGATTTGAATCCGCAGCAAAAGACGCAGGCTTATGCTAAAACTCCCTCCAGGCCATATAAATCCATTCCAAGAACATGGTTCGATTCGTTATGGCCTTCTGATCAAAGCTATGCCCTTCTTGAGTCACGATTTTACCTGAAATAGAAAACCCCAAAAAACATACAAAGAACCCTAGCTATGGTGGTTCTTCATTCAGGCCGGTTAATACCAATTGGATAATACCAAACGCTTGCAAATGTCATGTAGATTCAGAATATGGTATTGATTCATGAAAAGGATGCTTAAATTCAGAGTTGCGAAATCAAGAACAGGGGTGGTTATCGTGACACTTACAGCGCCTTTGGACGTCCGAACAAGCTTGCTTTTGATCCAGGTAGATTGAGTGAACACCCAGGAAGAGATTGGGACAGGTCTCAGCCCTTGAAAACACCTCCAAACACAATTTCGATCTCAAGCTTTTTGTGATTTTTTCAAATCTTGTTCTGCCTCTCTCTGCAATTGCCAACCCTTATCTCGATTGGTTTTGCTTGCTTATGTATTGTTTGGTGTATTAGGGTAGAAATTATGGACTGAATCCTTCCAAATCAATGCACATGATTTTGATTTGATCTCCATTATTAACCTTTCCAAATTTGATTTGATGAAATCTTTTTGTACATGTTTTGCTTTGATATGAATTCCATGGTGTTGCTAGCTGTAAACAAAGCCTAAAACAATCAATAAATCAAGAGTTTTTAATTGTTTGGATTTTCTATGATTTTATTTGATTTGAAATGAATAAATTCAATAAAAAATAAAATAAAATAATAAAATGAAATATGAGCTCATGGCTGAAGCTAGGACACGTGTGAACTGATGCAAGCTCAAATCAAGTGGAAAAGAATGGGCCCATTTGACAAAATTTGAAGTTTTGGGGATAGTTGACTTTTGGCAATTTTGCAAAAATGTCCAACTTCAACAATGCATAAATTCTTCAATTTTGAACTTTTGGACGTGTTCTTGGACTTTTTAGAAATATTTAGATGTCCTATAACCAACCCTTTTTGTCTCATCGAATTTTCATATTCCATGCTCAAGTTATAAGCTTTGAAAAAAAAAAGGTGTTTTTGTTGACTTTCAAAAGTGACCTATAATGTCCAAATTTATAACTTCTTGTGAGTGCATTTTTTTATCTTTTGGTATGAAGATGGATTGTAGGAAATTGAATCCTATTCAAAATGAGATTTGTATGGGTCATTTCTAATAAAGTATGATAAAGTTATGCTTGGTCAAAGTTGAGTTGACTTTTCCTACAAAACCCTAATTTAGCAACTTTTGAGTCTTGATGAATTTTGAGAAACCCTTGATGAATCATGATCAACCCTTGATCAAATGATGAAATATCCTTCAAAATTAGAATATTGACAAAAAATATTGAAGTTTGACTGTATTTGGGTCACAGTTGACCTTTGCCCTAGCACAATCGATTTTTGGACCCTTTGAGCAATTGACTAAGCAAACTTCCTCTGCAAGGCTTGAAACTTGACATGGATGACCTTGAGAACATATTAGGACATTGGGGAGCACTTGAGGTCATTTTGACTCAAGGATCTTGATGCAACACAAAACCCTAATTTTGGGTTGAATGCCTTAGGAGATAACTTGTCTGTCCAACTCTTGAGCAAACTTGAGCAACTTGGAGATTTTTCTTGCAATGTTTTGAGGAATATGAGAGGTCAAATTTTGGGGTACAACATCGGTGGTATGATATTTTCTCTCTACCTTCAGTGAACATTGGTAGTACATCGGCAGTGAATGTCGGTGTTTCTTATCTTTTTGCTATCTTCAGTGAACGTTGATAGTTCATCGTCAGTGAATGGCGGTGGTATGATATATTCTCTTTATACCTTTAGTGAACGTTGGTATTACATCGGCAGTGAACGTTGGTGTTTCTTATCTTTTTACTATCATCAGTGAACGTTGATAGTTCATCGTCAGTGAACGACGATGGTATGATATATTCTCTTTCTACCTTCAGTGAACATTGGTAGTACATCAGCAGTGAACGCCGGTGTTTGTTATCTTTTTTCTATCTTCAGTGAACGTTGATAGTTCATCGTCAGTGAACGGCGGTGGTATGATATTTTCTCTCTACCTTCAGTGAACATTGGTAGACATCGGCAGTGAACGTCGATGCTTGTTATCCTCCTCTCTGATTCAATTCTTTTGGTCCACCAGTGATTTATTTTCCTGGTGGGGTTGCTCCTTTGTTTCTTCATTTTTGTGGCATCCCCAGTGATACTTTGCGTCTCTTTTGTTCTGTTCATATGCATTCATAATCATAAGTATTGCATGGCATCTTAGAGACAAAAATAGGGCTTGTTTTATATTTAAGTATCTTCAATCGCGTCGACACGAATATTTTTAACCTTCGTATCTCCGGATAGAAGACACTTAAATAAGGGCAGCTGTTGTACCCCAATTTTTGCCCCTAAGATTCCCCTATCATATCATGTCAACTTGATCATAACAAAATCACATTAGGTTTGGTTCTTCCTCTTTTTTTTCTATCTCCTATCTTTAAGTTTACTCTTGAGGAATCTCCAAGCACCTTAGTTGTGTATTTTGTATATGCGTTGATAATTAACCTCTAACCAAAATACAAAAAATATTTGTCTTTATCTTTGCAAAATTGTGTTTTGTAGGTACCGAGTCGAAGCATCCAACA